TGCTGATGAACCCAACGCCCGTGAGGACAAGGCAAGGTAATAACCTCATCACTATCCAACTAGGTTTCTCAAATGTATACATAATTTTTTTATTCTGTTCAATCATGCCCAATTGTTGGAAACTGCCTAGTCAAGTCCCTGCAGTTTTCTTGGTGAAATTTTTCAGAAATGGTTTGTCACTGCCCCCTTCCAGGGGCTATGAGAAAGTGACTGGCCTAAGGTCACCCAGCTTGATTCTTGCCCCAAGGTAGGACCACGCAAGATTGTTAAGGTAGCCTTACAATAAAGTATAATTAGCTCATCTGGTTGTGTTTCCTCTCTGGTCTACCTCGGAAGGCTGACGTCAATCTTACAAGTCTCAAAATACAAATCTCCCACCATCTCCTTTTTTTAGCCAGCAAGTTAGGGAGATTAATAACAGCGTTCCGTGAGCCTCGAAGTAATAGTCATGTCAGCTGCATGACCACAGAAGCATCACCTTCAGACAACACTGGCTCCCCTGGCTAGGAAACAAAGATCAGTATTGCACCCTAGAGTCAGAAACAATTGGCCAGGAGAAACTTTTAAGTTAGGGAGAATCCTTTCTGAGTTTCTTCCCTGTCTGTTATGCAGTGGTGGGCTCCATTCCTCCCAGCAATCTGATACTTCCCTAGGCAACATATCTTCCTCCGTTTCCCAAAGTCATTCCCACATACCATCACATCAAGTGAGAGCTACCTGTAGGTCTTCCTGTTCATCTATCACTATGTTGTATATGGATCTTATTCTAGGTGAAGCTAAACTTTTATCAATAATAGCCTGAAGTCAACCTTCCAGCAATGCAGCCTTTAGGTCCCTGGGCAAAATTGACTTCAGGCTATTATTGATAAAGTTTAGCTTCACCTAGAATAAGATCCATATACAACATAGTGGTAGATGAACAGGAAGACCTACAGGTAGCTCTCACTTGATGTGATGGTCAAGGGTTATCAGGGCATCTTAAAATAAATATCCAGGTGCTCAAAATCAATGGCAATAAGGAGCTGTGTGCCTAAATATCACAGACGGACTGAATTTAGCCATGCTTAACACTTTCAAGATTTTATCCAACACTACTGCTTAAGGTTGTAACCACTGTAACTAGTCTTAGTTTACTGCTTCATAATCCCAAATTCAATCCTGCTTTTAGAATTAATATGCACATCTATTTGCTAAAAATGGCCTAAACTAGCCTAATAACATATTACAGCTTGTAAGTGATTATAAGTGACAGGAGAAATGTTTTAAAATGTCTTGTTAAGGCCCAACTGACAGGGATTACTTTGGTGATGTGTAGATTTTGACGCACAGATGGACTTTAGAGCTGGCAGTTAAGCAAGATTAATTCCAAGACAAGAGGCTTTCTAAACTCAGACTGTCTGCCTTGAGTTGCTCAAGCCATTTTATGCTGCCTATTACAGCTGCACCTCTATGAATCAGAAATCTTTGTCATTACTTATTCTTTACAAATCTCCAAAAATGAAGATTAGAACAGGGCTAATTAAAAAAAAACAAAAACCTTTCTGTTTGGGTCATGAATGACCACATTTCTTGCAAGCGTGAAACATTTCTGCTCTAAGGAAAAATACGACCATAAGGCAGTCCTCGACTTCCGACATTCATTTAGTGACAGTTCAAAATTACAACACACTGGAAAAAGGGATGTACAACCGGTAATTCATACCTGTCGCAGCATCCGCACGGTCGTATGATCAAACTTTGGGTGCTTAGCAATTGGTATGTATTGATGATGGACGCATTGTCCTGGGGTCAGGGGATTGCCATGTGTCTCCTTCCCAGTCAGCTTCCAAAAGCAAAATCAATGGGGAAAGCCAGATTTGCTTAATAACTATGTTATGAACTGTAAGTGATTCACTTAACAACCCATGGCAAACAGGTTGTAAAATTGAGTGTGACTCACTTAATAATTGCCTTGGTTAACGATGGAAATTCTGGTCTCAGTTATGGTGGTAAGTCAAGGTAAGTGGTAGGGGACTGAGAAAACCTGGTTTTCCTGTTTAAGCAGTAAGGATACAGCACAACGCCATCCTCTTGCCCTATGAAAACCAGCTATTTCTACTCCTCAATTTTAGAAATTTTAGAACTAATGTAGAAAGTTATCACCATGAAAAACCACTAATTAGGCCAGTGGTGGCGAACCTATGGCACGCATGCCAGAGGTGGCACTCGGAGCCCTCTCTGTGGGCACACATCCCGTTACCCCAGCCTCGCCTCCCCTGTGACCCCGTCACCAGCAGCCCCCCTGGAGGAGTCACCCCCGAGCGTGGCCCACGTGAAGCAGCACAGCCAAGGACATGGCAGCCAGGCAGCGTAGACAAGACTCTGCTCTCACGCCCCATCACGCATAGTTGATGCTGCGGGGGGGCAAGCAGAGGGCGTGGCCGCCATGGCGCTGCTGGGCTGCCTGGGCGATCTGTGGTGGGCCCTGGAGGCGGTGAGTGACCCTGCGGGCAGGCGGGGTGGGGGGTGGGACAGGAGCGGGGCAGGGATGGAATGGGGGCGGGGCCAGTTTTTGGGCACTCGGTCTCTAAAAGGTTCGCCACACTGAATTAGGCACTATGATCAGCAAATATTGTATTATTATTTTTGTCAAAGTGAAGGATTCGCTGTTTGCACTGAAACCAGTACTGTTGCCACAAATTACAAGTACATGCTGAAGTCTCCTGCATTGCTTGGACAATTGAAGGCAAAGTCATGGCTTATTCCTATTTTGTGATTTTTGGGTTCTTCAGAAAGAAAATAGTTGAACCTCCTGTTCAGACTTAATTTTATACAGTCCATGGGTAGAGATGGTTCATCGGGTGCTTAGTTGCTTCAACTGGCAGGAAGAGCCAAATAAAAGTGATTAAAGTTCCTTCCCTTATTGTTACGTCCAAGGTGAACTACAGGAAGTAACCTATTCACTTAAGAGTCAGCCAAAACACTTTTGTTGCTTTCCATAGCTATCGCAGTGCAGGTGTTCATCCAATCAAACACTTAATGTACCTGTGGAATGTACGCAGGCTCTGAGCCAAAAGAAAGGCATGAGGAATTTGAAACCCGTCTTAGTTCCCCCTGGGGCATTATATAATTAAGCAAAAATGATTTGTGTTAATTGCATAAGCCTTAAATCTAGGGTGAATTCCCCAAGACGAAATGTCCACAGGATGAAATAAAGTCTAAGTATGGAAGAAGGCAAGAAACAACAAAGAGTAACAGTATCATTAAGACATCTTAAGGGCACACCTTAAGGAATAACTCACAAGACTAGTTTGTCTGAACTGTGTTTCTTCCCCAAGGTTTTAATTCACTACCACTGGAGTAGCACATACTCAGAGGAATGTTTTGGTGAAGTCTGACTTGAGAACACGGAATAGTCATAGATTACTAGACAACAGCAATAGCATTTAGGCTTATATACCGCCCCATAGCACTTTACAGCATTCTCTGGGCAGTTTACAGTAGCAGCATTTTGCCCCCCAACAATCTGGGTCCTCATTTCAGAAGGATGGAAGGCTGAGTCCATCGATCCGTCAGGATCGAACTCCAGGCTGTGGGCAGAGTTTGCCTGCAATAATGTACTTTAACCACTGTGCCAGACAATCACCCAATCACCCAATCACCCAACAGACAATCACCCAACTTTAAATAAAATTGATATTCCAAGCATATGACACTCTGTTATATATAAGGAATGTTACAGAGGATTACTCTGCTCCTTCTTTCCCTGAGGTGAATAACCATTATTCTAAATCAAGCTGCTGAATAACAAATTGCACATGATGCTGTAATTCTATAGTGGGGACCAAGGATTCTTTCACAGCATAGCAATATGAATAACTTTTTAGTTCCTCTTACTCCTTTAATTATGTTTGTCTATAGTTCCAGATTCCTTATTCATACAAATGCCCCAAGTATAATGGAACTCAATTATTGCTGTATATTTATATATTTGTTTGCTTGCTAACTCTGTATGCCCATCTCATGTTTGTACAGTATATGCCATGTATGAAGGACTTTACCTTAAAGCATAAGTCAGAAAGTATAATAACACGCATTCTGACACCTGATGAATTCACTGCTTAGGGCAGGGGTAGGCAACCTTGGCTCTTTTAGGACTTGTGGACTCCCAGAATTCCTGAGCCAGTATGTGAAGTCCACGAGCCAAGGTTGCCTATCCCTGGCTTAGGGTATTATTTATGTCAATATACTTTTTTCCCAGTAATGGCAAAAAATAAAGGATGAAGGGGGGATAGGATGGAAGAGTTTAATTAAAGACACTGAAATCATCTATTGAACTAGTTTGTTTGTTTGTTTTAATATCTGTAGCTTCTGGGAAAATTTAAAGACCTGGTTCTTTTCTAAGCAAACACTATAAAAATAGCAAAAGACCTCTGTCTGATCTCAAAATACAAAATTACAAGCAGGGTGGATTCATTATACAATATACACAATTGTGGTGTTAGACGAAAGTCTACATGTAATAATGTAAGTGTTTCAGATATGATCTATCAACTGAAGGAAATCTTAGACATGTAGGCTTATAGCTAATTATGTATATGCAAAGTTTCACTCGAGCAAGAATGTACTGTTTGTCCCCTCCGCCACTCATTCCCGCTCCTGGAGAAGATGTAGGTAAAATGGGCAGGCCAGAAGACATTTTCCATCAGACAACTGAAGCACTAATTGGACATCACTTTATATCATGGGTCTTCAAACTTGGCCCTTTCATGACTTGTGGACTTCAACTCTTAGAATTCCTCAGCCAGCGTGTCATAAAAGGGCCAAGTTTGAAGACCCCTGCTCTATGCCGTAAGTTGTTTATTGACTCATCATTAATAAATATCAAGATGTAGATTGAAGTACTGGAGATAGAATATTCTAATGCTCATATAGAATTCATCATAATTAAACCCAAGTTTCTTTCAGAAGTGATGCTGTGGTGGTTCTTTTAAACAAACCATGTCTTGTTTTTTTCTTACCATCGTGGCCAGAGTTGAGAAGATGTTCTCCAAGATCACAGCCAAACACCCTCTCCTTTAAGATCCCACGCTGTTTCAGTTTCTGCTTTGTTGGTCGAGACTTCATGAATGTACGCAAGAAAGTAATAAGCTTGCCGTGTTTTTTGGACACTGTCAGATTGAAACAGAAAACTCATTTTAGGGGAAGATAATTGCAAAGATATTTTATTAATATGGGCCTAGTCAATAAGAATCAACCTTGTTGCTCTACCAGCAGTTTAAAGCAACCTTCTCTTTTTCTTTTTCCTCTATCATTAAAAATAACTGATTCAAGTGAAGCAGAATCCCTAACAAGAGATTTATTTAAAATAAAGCACTCAGATTAGCTTAATTCCATATACTTGTAAGACAGTAGGACAGGATAAGTGATAGGAAAGGAAAGACAGCATAAAAACAGGTGATGCAGCTCCATATTTTTCCTATCTACTTTCAGAAATCCAGAGCTAAACAGTAGGATAACATTCACGAAGGGAAATGATATGCTCCATTCCTCTATATTCAGTTATACCACAGTTCAACGGCCAGCCTAAGAATTGATATTGTTCCCCAGCCTGCATTCAAATCCATTTTTCCCCAACAGGATTAAAATTCTTTCAGCCTCTTCAGAAAAAACCACAAGCATTTAACTTTGGAGATGAATTAAAGGGCTTCTAAGCTTCTACCATGCTGCTCACTTTATTTATTCATTTATGGTGCTCCCATAATGCAAGACTCAACAAAAATGAATCCTGGCCATTTACAATACTTACATGATTGATGGATAGCAATTGATGGCTACATTTGCAAAATCCATTTACCAATTAAACAAACTATTACGTCTGCAATTTCTTGGGTTTGCATGACACATTGAATACACAAGAGTTCCCCAACAGTTGAATACACAAGAGTTGCCACAACGTAACTCCAAACTAAAATGGGTTGACTAATTTGTGCAAACACAGCCAGTATGTTTGATTTGCTTTTTGCTTGGTCGTTAGCACTAAGTTCTTAAGAATCTTTAGTATTTTCAAGATATACAATTAGATCATTCAAACTTAAGTTCAGGCACCCAATGAGAGAACAGGACCGGTTACAGCCAGGTGACAATACAGCCCTCCCATTTTTGTACTCAGTCATTGTTGGTTGAATGGCCATCCTTTAATGATACGGAGTATACAAACACACACACACATGTATATCCTACATACTCTCTTTCAGTTGGTATGTTTATACTATAGGGAATTTGAGAAAGTTGTACATTACATCTAATTATTTTTAATTAGTGCTCAGCTGTTATAACATTTTATTACTGGGTGATTCACTTGTTTTGATTTTTTTTATTTCTGTATTCATCTTGGTAGGATTTTGATGAGATGCCTTCCCTTTTAAGGAAATATGAAGCGCAAGCTTCAACGAGAAAACAGAAAATAATCTCATAACTTTGATGTTGATATTGAAAAAAAACATTATTTTGGACAGCTGTTGTTTTATTTCCACTACAACAATAAAATAGCCAGCAAAGAGAGTAATATTAATTAAATTAATTGCGTGGATTATTAATTGCGTGGTACTAAGTAGGATCTTTAAAAGCATAAACCTTGAGTGTTCACACACCAAATACAGTGGTACCTTGGTACTCAACTACTTTGAGACTCATCAAATTTGGTATTCAATGCATTTTGATGTGAAAATGTTGTCCTGGTACTCAATTGTTCGTTTGGTATTCAACACACAGGCTAGAATTTGTCAGTATCGGCTGACTTGTGACTCAGTATATTATTTCTTATGGGAAAAATCTGTTTTGTATGCATTGTTTTTGGTACTCATTGTGCCTCCCAGAACCAATTAGTGATGAGTACCAAAGTACCACTGTATCCTCATAATCCACAAGTATGCAAGTACCGTAATATATGGTACAAAATGAGAAAAAAAAATTTTTTAAAAGCAACTGGCCTATGAAAGAGACTGCCTTTGTTTGGAAGTAAATTTCTAAGGATATCCTATTGAAATAAAAGCCAAAATACGTAGCAAATTATCAAAGGAATGCCTATGTCTCCAACTTTTTAGTATCAGGAAGTTATCAGGGCTCAACTGTGTAGTAGTATGAGCAATTAGGTTACTTGAGTTTGTGCTCCTTCAAGGCAAAAAGGAATAAATCACTGAGTCTTTTGAAATAGGTTGTTGTGGCAATCAAACTATAGCAGAATTTGTTTGAGGTGAGGAAAGCATCCTGAATTAATTTCAAAGTAATTACACAGTGTGTTATTTTACATAACTAAACCCTGGGTGAAGACATAGGCCAATTCCGAGGCAAAGACGCTTATGTTAGCTAACAGGGTGGTTAATCAGATTTTTCAATTTGCTAGAGAAAAAAAAATCACAATCATGCAAACGTTTGTGAAAAGTGCTACTGATAGGTACACAATGACAGTGTAAACCTAAGGGAAGTGGTTGATGACAAGGGATCAGCGGTTCCTTCCTTTCCTTCCCTATTCAGGATAAAGTTCAAGTCATTAGCACTTCCCCTAATTCCTTGTTTTTAATCAGCTAACATTTTTAACATCTCAGCATAAGCTAGTACCACAGTAGATATTATTATTATCAACTTTGACCACACCTTCTGGTTTAATGACTACACTTTGTTGAATTACTCTAGCTCAGTATGGTGGTTTGCTGAGAGCTCCCTTTCCTGATCTTGGACTTACAGAGTAGGATATCTGCAGGGTGTAGTCAAAAAATGTTAAAATTGGTGGCCACCACAATGCAATTGAAATTCATCCATTCTTTATTTGCATCCTTGCAGACATCCCTGGAAAGAACAGAGCTGACATGGTACTTTCATTCTTGGCACTGGATGAGAGAATGTGGATGTAGCTTTTCTGCCTCTCTTTGAACTTGCCATTTAATCTCACTAACTAATTGCATGGAGAAATGAAAGATTATTAATGGAACTGTCCATGGGAATAATCTGACAACCTAAGAGAAAGCTCGAAATTAACTACAGTTTAATAATAATGCTTTTTAAAAAAAAAAAATCTCTAGGGGGTTTCTTATTATATATTCTCTTAAACTAGGGAACTGTATTCAATTTAAACTGTAGCTTAAACAAACCAAGGCAAGAAACAACTGTTTCAATCATAGTCTGGATGTTAAACCAGGTCTAAATGACACAATATAAAGTTACTGTATAAAGTTACTGTACTACATAAGTATTAAAGTCTTGCAGTAAATGAGAGGCTAGCTATTGTGGCAAGGAAGGTAATATTTTCAATTAGTGTAACTAAGAATTTCAACTCACTGTTACCACACTGAATCAATGGAATGGTCTAAAAAAAAATACACCTAGGATTTTATAACAATGGAGCACAACAGGTTTCAAGGACAAAAGAACCTTGCTAATTAGAATCATGACTGTATTCTTTGAGAATTGGCTGACTACAAGGACTGCCTTTACTCTAGATGTTTTATGACCATGGCAAAGGCAGAACAAACAGAAAGCATGAAGGTTCGGTCTAGTATTTTTTTAATGATTATTTCTTCTGGTGGTGTTTCTTCGTTCTTCCGGTATTGTGCAAATATAATTCTTGCCGCTAGATTGTGCAGAAATAGACAGGCTTACTTTAAGGTTGAAAGAAAAAGAAGAAACAGAACGTTTTCAAACTTGGGACCTATTTTATCAGTGGTTAGAGAAAAGATTTAGGGATTAGGAATTTAATTTGTATTAGTGAATAAGACACTCAGACAACACGTTCTGTTGAATGATTACTATTGAATTTTGTTAACAAAAATTAATTAATAAAACTTTATAATAAAAAAAGCATGCATGTAGGTTCGTCCATTCCTTCAGAAGGGGCATTCGGAAATCTTTTTCTTAGAATTAAACTTCAGTCTATTCAATCTACGGAAGCTAAAAATTAGGAGGAGTCTAGTAGCACCTTTTGTGACTAACACATTTTATTGAAAGGCATATCCTTGTGCGAACTGCGTTTTATGCCTTACAACAAAATTAGTCAGAAAACAGTGCGAACAGACTTCTGGTAACTTTTCAGAACTTACAGGATATCATTTGCAAATAAGGGTAGATGCAGCCTAATGGTTTTTCTATCCTGAGTTCAAAATCCTATGCAAGGGACTTTGTCATCAATAACAAACTGTGCAACTGTCGTACCTTTATAAGTGAGCATTTCTGTTTCAAAGTTTTACTTACAATTCATTGAAATATGCCCTGCCAAAATTAGTTTCGGGAAGAAAATAAAAGCAGAATACCCTTGCCTGTTATTAAGCCTAGATATGTCTTACATTTCAGGCTGATGAATTCATAACGCCTTCTGCAGTGTAAAAAGACTGATATGAGTTACTTGCTATCAGTAAATAAATTAGATCTGTATGAGATGACTTGGAATTACTGCAGGTATTGGATGAAGCCCCAGAGAAGGTAAACAAGACAAGGACACTGAAGCAAAGCATCTATTTTGGTTTAAGAAGCAAGGGATTTCTGCTGAAGAAAAGCATCTTTTTGAAAGGCTTCACAATCTTTAAATATCCAAGCTATGCACTCTTACACCCAAGATCTGCCAGTGGAGGAGCTGTTAGATTATGCCAGCAGCAGAACATAAGGCACAGCTCCGTCACTCAAAATAAGACAGCTTTAATTTGCAGATTTCAATTGCTGGTGCATCTGTTATGTATGACGGCACACTCCCACCACCTCAGTAGCCAAATTAAGAAAGAAGATTTGTGCTGGGCAGGGAAGGAACAGATTTCCATCGAATCCCATGCTAGTCAGACTTTGAATACAAGCACAAATGTAAGTCTCCAAGACCAAATCAATTCCACCTAAGAGTTTTGAAGGATTCGTTTTAGAGCCTCTTTCTCTGACCTCTGAAAAAGCCAACAGGATAAACTAGAGGATGGAAGAAAGGGATATGAGGTTCCCATCTTTAAAAAGAGCAAAATTATTGGTAGCTGTATCAGAGAAGTAACTGGCTGCTGGAATGCAGAATCGCTCTGTCTGGCTGTACAGTATCTGTCAAAAATCACATTCACACATTTTTCGCCTTAACACAAAAACACAGAAAGTGCTTTTGAAGACAATTATGCCTTCACGGTC